GGCCCTTCCCTTAACCGCAGACAAGGCCTCGCCACCTCCTGACCAGGAAGAGGGGTCCGCGAGGTCCTCCTGCTCCAGCTGGATCAAGTGACGTGAAGACAAGGGGGCGGAGCAGACGACCCCTGAACAAGTCACTTAAATCTCTGGGTCAGCTCCCCGAGCAGAGAAACGACAAGTCTTCGTGCCACCACACCTGGCACGGAGCTTGGCACACGGGGACACGACAGAGGGAAGTTCCCTTCTTCCGGCCCCCAGGGGCTCCAAGCTCTGAGCTGCAGGTCTCCCGGGCGTACTGGCAAACAGGGCAAAGGGTCCCACCAAGGGTGAAGTTCCCCTGACCAGAGGGCGAGAATGTCCCCCTTTCTACAAGCGTCCCTGGTCTGCCCAACTCCTAGGGAGGGTCCAGAGTGCCCGGCCAGGGGCACCAAGCCAAGGTCAGTGACCAGGCCTAGAGCCCGGAGCCTCCCGGGAGAGTGCGTTTAAATGAGTAAATATGGTCCCGCCTGGGTGTGGCCAGCAACAGGCCAAGCTCTGGACAAGTCCCTCCCCTCGCAGCCTGCAGCAGGAGGGAGGGAGCCCGGCGGCGGGCACTCCCCAGCCCTGCAGAGGCCGTCTGGGTCCCACGCAGGGTCTGCAGCCGGCCAGGACCAGCCAGAAGTACAGCTGGGTTCCCAGGAATGGGGGGCTTGTGGCCACAGCCTCAGGAAAAGGAAAAACCAGATAAAGGGGCTTGGGGGCCAGCCAGGCCAGGAGATCTACCCCCACAATGCCCGAGGACTCGGACGGCACCCTACGCCTCTGGGTGGGTGGGGAGGGTGACATGCACTAGAGGTGCCCAGCAGGACACCAGGTGCTCTGATCACAAGGCTGGGGACACTCCTGGACCCCTGAAAGCTGACTTACCCAGGGCACAGGTCAGCATAAGAGGCAGAGGCGGTGTGAGCCAGGGCCTCGGGGAGGGGCACGTGGGGGTGCAGCAGGGGCAGTGACCCAGGTGGGCCGGGGGGCTGTCCAGCGGTGGTCTACCCTCCGTGCGGCCTGCTCCGCTCAGTTCTCAACCCTCGCCCCCCACCTGCCCCAAGCCTCCGATCCTTTAATCATCTTTCCATTCACTGCCCTCCTCCGCACCCCCCGCAGGCCAGCAGCTGCTCCGTGGGTGTCCACACACTCGTGTGCGCGCGTGTGTACTTGCACACCTTCACACACGCGCCACTGAACGCTGGGGGCGTGCCAGGTATGTCTGGGCACTACAGTCTGCATGAGACCCTCCTCCCACACCCCCACACAGCACCCCTGCAGGAGACCCTGCTCCCAGCCCCCCACACAGCACCCCTGCATGGGACCCTCCTCCCAGCCCCCCACGCAGCACCCCTGCATGGGACCCTGCTCCCAGCTCCCCATGCAGCGCCCCTGTGGGGGGGGGTGGAAAGGGGCCCAAAGGCTCCAGGACAAACTCTCTCCGGCTTCAGGCAAGGAAGAAGAGAAAATAAATAATATCCCATCCTCACAAGGCCGACGTGCAAGGCCTTTCAGCAGAGCTGCCTAGAATCGCCAGAGAAGAAAGCGCTTAGAGATCGCCATCCTTCCTAGGCCGAGCCAGAGCCACCTCTGTCCCCCGATCCAGCTCCACCCGTGGGTCCCTCCCGCAGCCTGCCGGGGTGGACAGGCTGGGCAGCATCCGTCACAACACGGCCAGGTGTCCTGCGTCCCGCACAGGGCGGCTAGGGCCTCACACCTCCCCCTCCCACTATGAGTAAGTCACCAAACTGGGACAGAAGGACGGTCGGTTGGCCGGACTCCGGCCCCATGACTGGCTCATAAAAGCCACCGGCAATTACAGTGATGCCGAGGCTCTCGCGCCACCGCCACCTCCTCCCTGTAAAAAGGGAGATAATTGCTCAGACCAGGTGGCCTGGAGAGCCTGGAGAGTCCCGGCCACGGTCCCCAGGGGTGGGGAGGACCCACCACCAATGTGCCACGAGACCCAGGGGCTGACCCTTGACGGCGGGCTCCAGGCCCACAGCCGATGCTCGCAGCCACACCGGCACCTGAACGGATGCCAGCTACAACCCGGGCCCCAGAGGTCGGGCCTCTACTACCCACCCGCCCATCAACTCCTCTTCTCCAGGGAGGCCACGGCCTCCTGGACTGGAAGGGCAGAGAAACAGGGGCCCTGGCTCCAGATGCAAGTAGGGACACGCTGCAGCCACCGTTTGTCCCCGACTCCTCTTGAGCCCTTGCAGGCAGAGGAGTGGGTGGCAGAGTGTCGGACACGGGGCCCACCCACACCAGGCTGGCGTGAGCCCCAGGATCCTGGACCAGTGCCGGCCAGGGAGCGCAGGCCCAGGTGGCCGGCGGGAGAAGGGCAGCAAGCCGAGCTGCGGGCCGGGCCTCTCCGGGGGCACGAGGGCCAGGGATGCTCACAACAGAGAGACCTTCCCAGGGCAGGGGGTGAGGAGGAAGAGTGGGAGGGGTTAGGTCACAATCAATGAGGGTCTGACCTCAGGCTTCCTCTCCCCGGTACCCCTAAGCGGCTAGCGGGCCTCGGCCAGCCTCCTTGCGGCTGCTACCCTACACCCCACCTGGGGAGCCTACCCTCCACCTTCTCCCCCATCACACACCTCCCAGGAAAGACCAGGGAAGATTTAAAAAAAAAAAAAAAAAAAAAAACCTGCTGGAGAAAGATTATATAACACCAGCCAGAAGGACTACAGTACCTCCCCGTCTGCGAGAAGAGCCAGGAGCCAGGACAGAGCTGGGAAGTCCAGGCCCCTCCAGCACGGGGAGCAGAAGGAACAGAGTGGGGTGAAGACGGGCAGTATCAGCCACCCTCCTAAACCCCCCACCGCTCTGCCCCAGCCAATGGCTATGTGAGGCAGAAGCTCTAACCTAACCTCTCCTGCCCATCCCCCAACACAAAGCGTGTGAGGCTCTCTGGCTGGGTCCCGCTTCTCCCCGTGGACCGGGGGTTCCGTGAGCAAGAATTCTGTTTTCCTTCTCATCTTCTCATGGTCTCTCCCTACTACGAACTCATGCCCGAAACAGAGCAGTGAGACAGAAGGTCTGACACAGATTTGCTGTGTGATCTCAGGTAAAAGGCTCAACCTCTCTGGTCTCTAAAGGAGTGTGAGCGCAAACTCTTCCTTTTCCCAGGGAAACCAGAGACCCCTCCCTTACGAATGTACACACACACACACACACACACACAAGCACATACGGAGTACGTGGGGGGTGGGGAGATACAACAAAGAGAATATGACCAGTGACATCTAAGGGTCCAAACACCTGTGCTGGGACACACTGGGAAAGAGCCACATCAGCTCTAGCGTCCCCCCGTCACCCCATATAAACGGGTCCTCAGCCACCCTCACGCTGATCCCACCCCGCCCCCATCTCCTGCCCCACACACTGGGAAACCACAGGAAGGAAATTCATTCCCAGGCAGGCCGTGGGAGCTGGGACAGTCAGGCTAAGTCCTGGGGCGGGTGTGACCCAGTGGCCACAGGCGGGCGGGACAGCTGTGAACACTGACATGTGCCTTTTCAATGTTCTCCTTGGCCACCAGGACCTCCGTGTCGGGGGGCTGAGGAGAAGCGGGAGGCGGGCTCCCTAACTTCACTACACCCAGTCTCCAGCTGGCCTGGGCTCCCCTCCTACCTCGAGGCCAGAGCAGCCCAAGGTCACCGCCCCAGATGGCAAACTTCCCATAGTCCAGGCTGGCCCCCAAAATGCCTAGGAGACCCACAGAGGGGCTGGGGGAGGGGGGAAGGATCACCCCCCCCAAACCAAAGAAACCAGGCCAACTAGAAGCCCTCACAAAGGGGACCGGGCACTGGGAAGGGGGACACAGGACCCACCCACTGCACCCTCCCCCAACCCACCAACAATGCACGTTTAGGAGGAGGTACAGGGAGCCTCCCAGTCGGAAGGACAAACCTGGGGTAACCTAGTCCGTGGTGCTGAGTGTGCCCACACCCAGGCCCCTCCCCGCACGGGGGGACAGACCTCCGGAGGCTGCTGAAAGGTCCCCTGGATTCTCTAAGGAGAAGGAGCCTTTTCCCATCCCCCTAAGACCCCAACCTGATGGGGGAGGCTGGCATGGGGGCGAGACACAAGATGCATCCTCCTCTCCTGTGGCCCTTCCTCCCGGAAAGCCCCCCAAACTCAGCGTCGACCCCCACTCCCAGACCAGTCCAGCCTGCCATTGGTGGAGAGGACTGGAGAACTCGTGCCCAGATGTTGAACAGCTGCAAACTTCTGGCCAGGGTTTCTCCGACTGGGGCTGCTGACGAACCAGATCAGGGGTCTCGGAACGGGGGTAGGAGGTCCCCAGGAAGGGTCGCGCGTGCCCACGCCCGAGGCGGCCCTGCGTCCCAACTCCACAGGCACCCGGCAAACCCGGGCCCGGACACACACACACTCACACACCCCAACCCACCACCCCGGTGTCATCTGAACGACGTCCCCCCTCCCTCCCCCGCTTCCCAAACAGCTGCGGCTCCCCCCGCCCCCACCCTCCCGCCGCCCTCCCAGGCCCCCTTCTGCACCATTTCGGGCCAAGGAGGAGTGAACAGGCGGCGCGAGGAGGGAGAGGGAGGGAGGGCCGCCTGTTAAAATGTCAGTCGCTCCCGGCTGTCACCGGAGACCCCCCTCTGAGGATGGCGCCCCTTCCCAGACCACTCGGAGGCCGTCGTAAACCCCGGACACCCGCAGCCGGGCGCGCCCCGAAGCGCGGGTCTCACCCCGACCCCGACGCGCAGGGGAATTAGAACCCCCTGCACTTGTCCCCGGCCGCGTCCCCCACACAAACAAGCAGCCCCCCACGTAGTCTCCCACCGACGCCGCCCGGAAACAGCCCGCTCCGCGAGTTCCTCCCACCCGGGGGCCACCCCATCCCACCCCTCAGGGGGACGGTCCCGACCACCCTCCACCCCAAACCCAGGACGGGGTGGGGGAGGGGGCCTCTTAAAGCGGCAGGCGCATTATTTTCCCCTACTCACCGGCCCCGCTGGGCGAAGGGGGTGTCACGGCTGGGAGGGGTGGCCCTCGCCTCGGGTCCGGGGGATCTTCAACACCGGGCAGCCGCAGCTCCGGGCGGGGGGAATAACAAATGAGGCCGGCGTCCGCGCGGGCCCTGGGCGGCGCCGGGGGGCCTGGGCCCCCGCCGTGGGCGCGGGGGCGGACAGGCGCGCGGCGGGCAGTGGGGACCGGGACCGAGCGCCCGAGCCGCCTCGGCGTTGTTGATATTTTGCTTCCTTCCTCCTTTCGGGCTCCAAAGGTAACTCCTCCAGCCCCCGGGAGTCGAGGCCGACGTAGGCACAGCTCAGCCTAGCTTGAGGGGTGGGGCCCGGGGGCTGACGGACGGACAGGGGGACCAATGGGAAGAGCCCGAGGCGGCGGGGCGGGGCCGGAGGGGCGGGCCTGGCCGCGGCCCCGCCTCGCGCCTCCCGCGGCCGGGCGGGCGGGCCGGGCGCCCCACCCACCGCCCTCCAGGCTAGGCTGCGGCGCCGGGAGCGGCGGATCCCTCCGCCGGCCGCGAGGGGAGGGGAGGGGAGGGGAGGGGAGGCGAGGCGAGGCGAGGCGAAGGGAGGGGTGGGGAGGGGGCCGGGCTGGCGGCGCGGGGAGGCGAGGCCAGTCGCCCGCGGAGGGACGGCCGGCGCGGGGCGCCCCTCGGTGCTGCTGCCCCCGTGCGCTTGCCGCGGTCCTCCCCTCAGGCTCGGCGGCCGCCGCGCACGAGCGGCGCCCCTCGGCCCCCAAGCCCCGGAGGGTTGGAGGTGGCGGTCTAACTAGACAAATTCGGGGTGGACGCCAAATGGCGACAAGATTCCGGCCCCCCCGCCCCCCCTTAGCGTGCGCCGAAGCAGCGCGCAGAGGAGCACGTTCTCTGCCGGGGGTTACCTGGGGAGCCCGCCCGCCCCTCTACCTGTGACGCGCGCCTCCCTCCCCGGGCCCGGTTCGGCAGACGCCCAGCAATTTAAAGCGACAGCTCATAGCTCTCGGGTGACCTAATCCCCAGTGCCTGCGGCCCCAGAGCACTTACAGCCGAGGGGGGCAATTTAAAGGGGCGGGACCTTAATTTCCCCCAGCACAGGAAACGCCCGAAAGCATCTTATTAAAGAAACAGTAGTAGCTCTTAAAAGATTTTTTTTTCGTAATAAAAAAATCGCTAGTTGCCCCAGGGCGTGGCGAATCTTCACGTGCCCTACGACAGGAGTGTGGGTGCCATGCCTGCCTACCCCACGGACCGGCCGACTTCCTCCAGCAGCCCTGTTCCCTCCACATCCCGCTGCTTTCTACCTGGAGCTTTAGGAAATGATGGAATCCGGCTTCGATCTCTAAGAACCTTGCAGAACAGAAGGGCACTCAGTTCTTCACACACCCTGATTTCTATCTGACTGGGTCTGACTTACTGAACAAAGACTAGATTCTGGGTGAAGTGCTGGGTTAAGTTCTAGGTGAGGAGACTGCTACGTACGCGAGAGGCCGCAAGTCACGGTGATTAAAAGCATCAACATTGGCGCAGTGGAGCTGCGTTGGTTCAAGCCCTCACTTCACCCTACGTTACCCTCCACCATGGACGTTACCTGTGAACACGGGTACAGCAGTTGACCTCCCTGAGCCTCATGGTCCTCAAGGATAAAATGGAGATGGTAATTATAGCACCTGACTCCCACATTTGGTGTGAAGATTAGTTTATGCAAGTAGATTGTCTAGAACAGTGCCTCATGCTACATTATAATAACCTACAGGCTGGACCGCCATGACCCCTTTAGGCCCATTACCTCATACGAGCCTCCAAGGAGGCACGATCAGTGGAAGGAACTGCCTTGCCAATAGGTTGGAGACTTATCGTGTATGTCCTAAAGCAGGAAGCCAGCAGGCTCCGGTTTCCTTGGCCTCAGTTTCCAACCCTTCCACCTGGCCCGTCCTTCAGGAAACCTGATTTAAACAGTGTCTGGCTTTGTCCCCAAATGTAGCTTCTCAGTTCCCCATCAGATCAGGAGATGGGGCCCCAGGACCAGAAGATGTCAGTCTTCCCTGCGAGGCAGGGCTAGTAGCTTGCCCCAAAGACCTCAGGGGAGGCTAGGGGAGGCCAGCTGTCCTGTCCTGAAGGACCGCGAGAAGAACAGAGCCTTGTGCCAGGGCTGGGGCTGTGGCAGTAGCAAGATGGGAAAGTGCCTCCCCCCTGAAGTGGGGAACCTCCCCTCGCTTGTGGCCTCTATTTTTAGTGCTTCCCCAGGCTCTCGCTGGAGAAACCGTTTAGTCATCAGGGTGTTTATTTTCCGGCTGTTTCCGACGTCGGGAAAGCAGAATGTTGAGACTGGAGAGATCAGGGCTGCTGGAAAAGACTTCTTAGGAACAGGCCTGGGAACTCAGCCTTCAGACCTCTGGGTCCCAAGATCATAGGTAAAAACCAAAGTGGGCACAGGGCAGCCAGGCCCCCTAGGAGACCAAGAGACATGGGTCCTCAGCCTGTCTCCAGTTTCGAGACTCTCCAAGCCGGAGAGACCCCCATGGCCCCAGCTCTACTTGAAGGATCTTCTCCAAGAACATAAGCAGCCCCCAGAACAAATTCTCCCTTACCGCCGATTCCCCGAGCCCCCCTCCCCAACCTCTGATAGACCTGCGGGGTGAGCCTCCCGCCAACCACCGCTCCAGCCAATCTCAAGCTGGAGGCAGGCTTGCCAGGGCTGTGATTGGCTGGCTAGTCCTCCCTGCCTTGGAATGTTGGGTCCTTAACAAAGGAATGAGGAAGGAAGGTGAGTCACCTGGGAGGGTGTTAAAGGGCCAGGAGCTGGAGAGAGAGGAGAGGAGGGAAGAGCTCAGTGAGAGAGACCCAAGTGTCCCCAATCCTGTGATGCTGAATGATAATGCACTATAGAACCGAGTAGGAGAGAGCCGCGGAGACTGACATTACAAGCGGAATAGAATTTACATATATTTATTGAGAGAACTTCATGGAAAAGGAACAAATATAAGGTCTTCGTTTCCATGAAAGACTAAGAAAGGATCTAGGAAGTAATGCTCCTAGGAGTTAGGTTCTATTAAAGACTTCCTGAAACTGACTCACTACATCTTGGTCTTCTGGCCCCTCAACTCCCCATCCCAGAATCCTTTAGGGGGAAAGGTACCCCAGCAGCCTCCGGTGCCTGGGTTTTCATTGTTCCTTCTCCCCCTCGGGCTCCCAACCCCTTTTGTAGAGAAAAGTCATCTTAGAGCCCAAAGTTGCTATAAAACCCCCGAGGAGGCAGACAAGCACCCACCAAAGGCCTAAAAGGTGTGTAACTCCTCTGTACGGAGTCCCCCTCGTCCTTCCTATAACGAAGGGACACCTTTTATTCACACCTCCCCCAGCACCCTGCTCCATCTGAACTTGGAAAGGTCTTCCTCACCCCCAAGGGCTGCTTCTCTCCCTGCCTGCTGTTCCGGAGCCCTAGGAAGCCACTGCCACTGTTCCAGCCTGCGTCCGGCCGCTTGGTGGACCCCACTTACCGTCCTCACTGCCACTCGGAGGATCCCCACTCCCACCCCCATCCATCCCTTCCCTCCTACTGGGCCGATCCTTCTTCCTCCCCATTTGTCAGTCTCTCCCCACACCTTCCACCTTGTTTACAGGGCAAGGGCCCCAAGCAGGGGTCCAGGCCCTTGTTCACCTCCTTGCCTGGGGCCGTGTAGCCTCCTGCAGTCTGCTCAAAGAGTGCTCTCTACGCCACGTGGCCACCTCACCAGCACATGCCAGGCTGCACTGACATTTTTGGTTTCCAATTTACTCTTCTCCACCAGGTCCTGAGCTCCCTGGGGCAGCAGTTAAGTAAGCTCTGGTGTTGCAGGGCCTTGCAGGGCCCGGAGAAGAATGTGTTCAGCCAATGTCTGTTACATGAATCTGTGCACATTTGTGTATGTAGCTGTGTACCTCAGTTAAGATTACAAAACCTTTATTGAATATCTCCTCTATTTGTCCATTGATTACTCTGTCCTGGCCCGGGGATGGGGCTCTGATCTGGGGCCCAGACAAGTCCAGCTCTAGGCCAGAAGCGGGGGGGGGGGGGGGGGGGGGGGGGGGGGTGTAGGGAGTTAAGCAGAGAGCTGTTCTAGGCTGTGCTGGCAGAGCTGTGCCCCAAGCGCAGTGCCAGGGTGCCGTGTCTGGGGCCAGGCCCGGGGCAAAGGGCAGAGGCCCCACCCTGGATCTGAAGGGGGCAGGAAAGGGGTGCCAAAGCCGGGTCCTCGGTCCGTGCCCGCACCCCCCCCACCAGAGTTCCCTGCCCCAGGCAGGGCAGGATGTGGTGGCAGCTGCAAGAGGGTGGGCAGGATGTGGGGGTGGGGGCAGCTGAAACGAGCCTGACACTCGCCTCCCCAGCTCCTCCCTCCTTCCCTCTCTCCCCCCCCATCCGCCCCCTCCAGGTCACGTGCTTCCAGCCCGGGCACCGACGGACTATTTCTCCCTTTCTGCGGAAGGACATAATTGACACCGCGAACTCAAGTCACCTTCGACTTCAGCGGTACCACGCCTTTTTCTTGCCTCGTAGCCCAGGACAGAAAGTTTGCCAGATACACATTTCTTTAAAGCCCTGATCACTAATTCCGGAGTGGCCCCTTTAAATGCAAATGAACCGCCTTCTCGCTCTCGCCCCCCACCCCCATCCCAACTTCGCTCCTCGTGCCCAGACTCCGCCAGCTGCCATTGACGTCACGCGTGCGTCAGCGTCGCCAGCCCAACCAGACGGCACGTGGGGGGAAGAAGGTGGCCTTAAAGGGCCAGCCGCCTTCGGCCGGCGGGGTCGCTGCTGCGAGTTTGGCCTTGGGAAGGGAGTGGTATGAGAGGCGGGGAATCTGTCGGAGCAGGGCACGCAGGATAGACGTTAGGGAGGACAGGTAGGAGTTCTGCTCCTTCCACAGTAGGAGGGCCAGGCGTTTCCTCTGGATTCCGCAGAAGGATGGGTTCTGCGCCTGGGAGAGACACGCCGGAGCAGAGCTGCTCTGAGGGTACAGGAGGCGGGCACTTAAGACTCGCCCAGTTACAGTGTCAGCCCTTCCTTCCTCCCTGCACCCAGGCCCGCCACGCAGGGACCTCGTTCTCCTCGGCATCCCCCCCGCGGTGCAGCGCCAGCCCCGAGAGCAAAGCTCCTGCTAGGCAGGTATTCGGTATTTGTAGGACCAATGCGATGCAGGGCAAAGCCGCCTCCTCCAGGAGGCTCTCCCTGACTGTCGCCCTCGCGGGCTAGCGCGTCCCCGCAGCAAAGGACGGGACCGCCCACAGCATTGAATGAACCTGAGTGAACCTGCCTCTTCCTTCCTTGCATTAGTGACCACAAGGCAGTGCTGAGGCGCTCAGACCCTGGGGTGATGTAGAC